GCCTCCCCGGCCGCCGGCCCCGCGCGGGCCACCACCGTCAGCTGGTAGAAGGCCTGCGCTTCCCTGTCGACCGCACTGGCCGTTGTGAGCTGCCCGGTGCCCGGGTGGATGGCGAACGCGCCCCCGGGGTCCCCGCCCGCGATGAGGTAGCTGATGTTGGAGTTGAGGTCCACGGTGCTGGCGGACACGCTGCCCACCGGGTAGCCCAGGGCCACGTTCTCAAAGACCACGAAGCTGTAGGCTGGCTGGCTGAACACGGGAGGGCTGTCCTGCGTGTCCAGCACCGTGATGGTCACCACGGCCTGGGTGGGAGACTGCCGGCGGCCGCCGTCCGTGGCCACCACCTGCAGCTGGTAGGCCGTCCTCTCCTCCCTGTCCAGGACCGCCCGGGTGGACACCACCCCGCTCTGCGCGTGCACCTGGAAGCGGGCGCCGTCCCCCGCCGCCAGGCGGTACCGCACCGTCCCGTTGGCCCCCAGGTCGGGGTCCAAGGCCGACACCGTGGTCACGTAGCTGCCCTGGGGCTCGTTCTCCCGGACGTGGGCGAAGTACTGGACTGGGTAGAAGACGGGGCTGTGGTCGTTGACGTCCAGCAGGCTGACATTGACCAGGGCGGAGGACGACTGGGGCGGGGTGCCCAGGTCGCTGGCCAGCACCCAGAGCGAGTAGAAGGCCTGCGTCTCCCTGTCCAGGGGGCGGGCGGTGCTCAGCTGGCCGGACACGGGGTCCAGGCGGAAGGCCGGCTGGTCGGCGCCGGCCTCCCGCAGGGCGAAGCGCACGGTGCCGTTGTCCCCCAGGTCCCCGTCGGACGCCCGCAGCGTCAGCAGCTCCGTGCCCGGGGGGGCGTCCTCCGCCACGGACACCCGGTAGCCCCCGGGCTGGCTGAACTCGGGCGCCTCGTCGTTGACGTCCAGCAGGGTGACCTCCAGCTGGGCGTAGGCCACCCGGGGGTGCGGGCCCTGGTCCCGCGCGCTGATGTTGAGGAGCACCTGGGCGGCCCGCTCGCGGTCC